AGTCCAGCATGCTGGAAACGTCCCTGGATGGACACACTCTGCTTTTTCTCTGCTTGCCTCCTGCACCCCAGTAATCCTGTTCCGCTTCTGCCTGTCCTGCTCTGTGTCCTCCGTCTCCCGTCCAGTGACTGTGTCTGTCTTCCAGTGTACAGTGGACCCCGACAGCCCAGGAATTTGCCGTTCCACATATGGATTGATGCCAGGTGAGCAGTGGGGTGGGTCCCTCAGGGTCGGTGAGCATCACTGGGAGCATGAGAAAAACTGGGAGGCTAACTTCCTGTTTGTGTTGTATCATTTAGCCATTTCTTTATGTCCTATTTTTCACTTTTTGCATTAACCCTTTTAGTCGTGCCTGTTCTTACTCCCCCCACAGAAAGCAGCTATTGGCAGCTGTGCCCTCCTCCCAAGCCTGGCCTGCAGGGGGCGCTCAGCTCCAGTTTCCCCCCTAACCCGGTTCCCCTGGGCCCTCCAGCGGCCTCCCTCCCCGAGAGGGATGGCTCCCGGCAGCTTGTGGTCCCCAGCCCCCCGGCAAGCGGCCCACCCCTGGCCGGAGCTCCGGCCCCGCCTCCGGTCCCCCCGCCGCCCCCGGTTCCGCCTGCCCCCCCGCCTCCCTCCAAGCGGCACTGCCGCTCGCTGTCGGTGCCCGAGGACCTGGCCCAGTGCCGCCTCACCTGGAGGCCCAGCGCCTCTAAGATCTGGACGCCGGTAAAGAGGCGCTGCCAGAGCGGGGAGTGTGCAGGGGGGGCGTGTCCCCTGCGGGCGTCGCCCAAGCCGGCTCTGCACTCCTCCTCCAGCCCCACCTTCTACAGCCTGGCACTGAGCCCCGACTCCCCACTTCCTTGGGGTTTCCCCTGGGATCCCGCCGACGCCTCTGCCACCACCGCCGTCGCCACCGGGGGCAGCAGCAGCTGCTGCTGCTTCTTCACCCCGCCATACTCCTGCTCCTCCTCGCCCTCCGCCCTCTCGGCGCCACCGGCCGCCCAGCGCCGCTTCTCTCTCTCACCGGTGCACATCCTGGAGGCCGCCGCCCACTTCCTGCCGCCGGGCCCGGCCCCGCCCCGCGCCGCTTCTGCCGCCGCCGCCGCCGCCCGCCCCTCGGCCGTGCCCCCGTCGCCCTCGTCCTCCTGCAGCACGCCCTGCTCGCTGCGCCGCGCCACGCCGCCGCAGCACCCGCGATGCCACTCGCAGCCCTGCGATCTGCTCCTGCGCAAGCCGGGCCTGAAGCGCCGCCGCGACCCGGAGACGAGGCCCTGCGCCCGGCCCGAGCTCGACTTCAGCAAGATGACACAGGTTAGCGCCCACGGACACCAGCCGCTGGGGGACCACTAGCCGTTAGCCATTAGCTGTTAGCCGTTAGCCTTTAGCACTTATTACAGAGCCCGTTGGGGAAGTTATCATAAACTCCCAGGTTGCACTGCTCTTTCCCAGTGGCCAGGAGGGGTGTTCCACAAAGTAGGCCTCCTTGCTTAGCCAGATAACTTGTCAGATTTAAGGTAGTCTGAGCTAAATGTAAGGGAATGAAAATAAAGTTCATTCAGCCCAGGCGACCTTAAATCCAACAAGTTACCTGAGTAAGCAAGAAATGCTACTTTCTGAAACACCCCCCAGGATTTCTCAGTCATGGTTGTCCAATAGGAATGCTCCTTACCAAAACTTATTGGACAATCATGACTTCTAGCTTAAGTTAACCACGCTAACTAAGTAATCCTGCTTTGTGGAACACCTCCCAGGTCTTCATCCCCCCTGGAAAGTGTGCCTGATGTCAGACCATTGCAGCCTTGATAAATTCAGTAGTGGGCGCACGGTGGTGCAGTGGCTAGCAGTGTCGTATCACACCTGTGGAGCCCAGGGTTCGAGTCTCCATGTGTGTGGAGTTTGCATGCTGTCTTTGTGACATCATGGGGTGTATTCCAGTCCCCCCCCCTCAGTCCAACAAGTCCACAAGGTGGAGTTACCAAATGGTCTGTAGGGGTGTGTCACGTGATAGGCTCATTGTATCCATAATACCCTGCAACCTAGTATTGGACAAAGTCATAGAGATGAATGAATGAATTCATTCATTAATAATGGTACTGGGCCCAAAATGCTAATATCGCTGCATGTTGAATGGTAGATAAAATACATATCAGAACATAAGAAATTTACAAACGAGAGGAGGCCATTCGGCCCATCAAGCTCGTTTGGGGAGAACTTAACTAATAGCTCAGAGTTGTTAAAATCTTATCTAGCTCTGATTTAAAGGACCCCAGGGTTTTAGCTTCCGCTACACTAGCAGGAAGACTATTCCAAACTCTAACTACACGCTGTGTAAAAAAAGTGCTTCCTTGGATTAATTTTAAAATGTTCTCCCACTAATTCCTACGACAGAGGAGTGTGAGCAGACTTTAGCCTGCTGTACACATGGTTTTACACTCCAGATATGGCACTGCGGATTCATGGCACAGAAACCCGTTTGAGCTCTTGCTGCCGATGCAGGCACAGTGGAACAGAGTATGAATGGCAGTGGTGGGCTTTGGGCCCAGTCTGAGCCCTCAGCTCTGTTTATGTGAAATTCAGCTTGTTGGCGTGGTCATGTGACCACTTTGTGCATGGCGGTGTCCTTCCACTTATCTGTAACGTAAGACCGTGCGTGTGCTGCTCCACACTGCCATCCTATCCCAGAATGGGTCCCTTCATCGGGCTCCAGATCACTGCCGATTTCGATCAAGCATATAATTTACAGATATAATTTAACAGATACTGTCATTGTGATGCGCCGAGCGAGGTCACGCACAAGAGCAGATGAAGATTGTGTGGAAAGATGTGATTCTGCATCTGGGTTTGCACAGGATGTCAATTAGGTTCTGGTACCGTTCTGAAGTGTACAGGACAAACCCGACTAACCACCATGGTCTGTGAATCTCAGAAGTTCACGTAGAGCTGTTTTGATGTAATTCAGTCGTTGGTTTTGATACTTGTAATGAAAAAACTGCATTTCCCAGAGTGCTTCAGTGCCGTACAGCATTACCATCAGCAGCTTTCGTGTGCTCTAACATGATGTTGGCTCTTAAATAAAGATGGCTTCCCCTTGCCCTGCTCTGCCATGTGACCCATCTCCCTCCACTCTAATACTCACTCTGATGCAGTCTTATTGTAAGTGAGTTAACATGCAATAGGGGAAGCAAGAATGCATAATGGGGACCAAGTTTTAAAATTGAAGGTCACGCTCCACAGTCAGTAGTGATACTGGAGTACTGCTTTAGCCATTTACTTAATGGATGACTGTAGCCTGGAGATTGACCCATTGAAGTTTTTGAAAGCTGGTTTTACTGTATAGGAATCATTATCTATACATTTTCAGTACTTTCCATATTGCATTCTGGCTCCCTAAATGTTTTTAAATCAATTTTCCCAGTGAAAATTTGGCTGTTTATCTTGTGAGTGTTCACTGAATTTCACGCTAAAGCAAGGGCAGGAGACCCCGATCCCGGAGTGCTGGTGTCCACCCGCCTTTAATGGGACGATGAAAACTCAAGCATTGAGGTCTGGGGAGAGGTACAGTCTTGCTCGTGGGCATTTTACTTGCACAAAGATGTTCTCAGGGCAGAAGGAAAAACGATTGTTTCAGAGAGAACCAATTAGACTGAAGAGGAGGCGGGCCCAAACAACTAGAGGAGGCAGGACCAAGATGTGATTAGTTGGCCCCACCTCCTCTACAATCTGATTAATTATCTCTCTGTACTAATCATTTGTCCTTCTGCCCTCTGAACATCTTTGCGTAAGTAAAACTCCCATGAGCTACAGTCTCTACCCCATTTCCAAAAATTGTGCCAATTAATCCTCCACTGCTGTCCCATTCATGACTCGGGTTCGAATCTGTCCTGCCACCTTGTGACTGGATTCCTGCCCAGACCCCTATGTGACAGCAGCCAGCTGCCAGATAGTGGCAGATAGGCCAGCATCCCTGCTTCAGTTCTGGCATCATACTGACAAACATTTTACATGTTTGCATGTAGCTGCTCTGATTCTTAATGTCTTGGCAGAAGGAAAATTCTTCCTTATTCTTTCAGCCTCCTGTACTGTTGCTTTCCTAAAGATACCTTTCGGTTTGGTCTCGCTCGTAACACTTCATTGAAAAGGTCGTAGTGTGTGAATGGATAAGGTTTTTTTGGTTTTGGGCCTGGTGTTAGATTTTTATTGGATCTGGCGCCCCCTGCTGGGGTGGCATCTGTCCTGCAGGTGTCTCCCTCCTGCCTGCCTACTGGAACAACATTAGGCTTGACTGAAATTGTTTTGTGATTTGTAAGATTCCACCCATGTTAGTGTGTTTGATGAATATATGTGGTATAATAACTATGAAATGATACATTATGATCATTATTTTATGATATATTTTGTAATAGGTTTTGGACTAAAAACGAAGGATTGATTAATTGAGATTAAGTCTAATTGAGATTAAGTCCAGTTTAGTAAACCTAAATATAGGAAATAATCTGTAAGACTTGTTTTAAGGACCAATATGTAGACTTTAACTGCTTACGGCTTTTAGGTCGGTTTTTGTAATGACCCATAAGTCTAAGATGGATCGTGACAAGCAGACATGATGTCATGAACTTATTCTTTGTATAACTATTATACGTCATAATCGTCTCGCGTTGTCGCGATGTTGGCCGGAGCCACCCGATCTGACCAATTGTCGCGATGTTGGGCGGAGCCACCAAATCTGACCAACTGTCGCGATGTTGGGCGGAGCCACCCAATCTGACCTCGATTTCGGTGGCAGCTTTTTAACCGTAGAGTCATCGCGTCACTGCCACATCTGTGCATGCAAAGCAGCATAGCGGGCAGAAATGTCACCAGCATTTCCTGTGTTTTTTTTCTAGATCACTCTGTTTATAAGTATGCTGCACGCAACTGTCTCACGCTACAGGACTCTCGCTTTACCAGAGAAACCCTGGTGTAACCGGACACATAATGGCCTTTCCAGTTGTTGATTACATACCTGTTATAATTACACTACATGAAAGATTGTATTTAATTTTAGCTGCATTATAAGCGCAGTCTCATCTTTTTTTTTTCTGAATCCCTCTGCAGACTCGGAGTAGCGACCCGCTGAGCCTCATGGAACAGGGCAGGCTTGGCTACGGCGAGGACTATGGGGGCACGGAGCCATTTTGGAGGGACTTCCGCGGGTCGTTCTCCCCAGCCGAGGGGCTGGGGCGATCGAGCATCGGGCCACTGAGCGAGAGCGAGGAGGAGGGGGAGGGAGAAGAGGGCGAGGAAGAAGAGGAGGAGGAGGAGGAGGAGGAAGCTAAAGGTAGCAATGAAGGGGGGCAGCAAAGTGTTTTTGAGAGGGACTGTACGGACCTGGACTTAACCCTCATTGAGGAGAATTAATATGGTTCGTGGGATGTCCATTCTCCATCGCCAGCATCCGAAGCTCTGCTTCCTTTGCCTCGGTCCGCTTCCTCCACGTTGGAAGGGCTCTCAGGAACTCAGCTGCCCTTCAGGCGGACACAAGCAGGGTCAAAAAACAAAAAAAAACAAAAAAAAGATAAGTGACATTACTGAGAAGAATGAATGCAGATCGCCCCATTCGCTGTTCCTCCAAAGGAATCCATTCCGTGACCCGGGGTCAGGTGCTGCAATGCTAACTAATTGGAGCGCTGGAAATTCGAGAGGTTCCTACGCCATGTATTATGGGTATAATGTCCTCCACTATCCCACCGTGAACTGACAGAGAGGAACATGGCGGTAGACTGTCCTGGCTGGTGCAGCAAAGTCGTTCACGTTTTCCTTCCGTCTATCCGTCATCACTTTCTCCTAATTGTGTGATTTGGAGCTTTCTTTTCTTTTTGTAGCAACGACTTTTACTTTTTTTATACTGGATATCTTTTTTGTTTCCAGTTGTGAATATAAAGAGATGTCTGTACCACATTGCACACTTCCATTTCTGCAGTTCTTTTTACCCGCTGTTAATATCTCTTGGGAGTCTGCATAAGCCTTAAGAAAACACCAGATTTGTTTTCACAGTATTACAAATTGGAACTTGTAGGTGTTCTATGGGTTATTTGATATTTTCTGCTGTTTTCTTAATCTGTATGACCTCATTTTTTCGCTGGGATAAAAAACCGATATGGATAATGCACTGTATTTGAAAGGTTTAAGGAACTGAAAGAGCTGCCGTTGTATTCCGAGGGCACAAAGTACTGTTGTGTTGTACAGTGATTGTTTGATTAATACCATTGTTTTTATTTTTATTTATTTTATTTGTCAAGGTGCCAGCTAGGAGGACTGAGACGTTGGTGTCTTTTTGGATTTTTTTTTTATGTGTTACAGAATTGCAGTTTGTGTACAAATAAAGTTTATTGAAGATTATTTTACAATGAAAGAGAATGCCCTGTTTCATTTTTCTCGTTGGTGATTACGCTGTGCTTGGTTTCATTCATATGTTTGTTTCTTTAAATGCTTTTCTGGGTGAATTCCTCTCCACGTGTATCAAACTATATGAGAAGGAATGTAAGACTCCTGTGTACTCAGTCAAATTAACGGAAATATGCACGAGCATGACACTCATTTCTAACTCTCATCTGTTCACGCCTTTTTACATACGGGCCTTTTATCTGTTTCCCGTATTATTTTGGTCATAATGTACGTATGTAACATTTTTGATTTCAGTTTGAAATCCTTGCAGTCTCTTAGGGGTGTACTGAATTCATAATCGGAGATCAAATAACCTAAATGAAATTAGTAATGCATGAAAGGGTGTTCGGTTCGCTATAGAGCATGAAGCCAGGTCGACCGTGTTTTACCTTGCCAAAAAAAGCGGTCACCTGAGCAGGACGCAAGGGGCGTCAAAGCAGCGCAAATAGGCACGCAGAAAGTATGATGACCGTAGAAAGCAAATGTCAACATGAAACAAAGCGAAATCCTAGATATTGCGGGCATTTTAGATTCCCAGAATAGACGACGTATGGTCACCCCAACGAAACGCTGATTTGCGGGTTCTTACCATCGTATATGTCCGCTGGGCAGCACGGTGCGTGACCCGGTGTCTGGGTCCCGCCTGCAGTACCTGGGCCTACGCACGGGGGCGCCGTCCCGTCTTGGGCTCTGGCGCCTCGCGGGAGCTCCTCTCCTTCTCCGCCAGACACACTCCTCGACCGCCGCCCAACCAACGGTTTCCTCTTTTTCCTCCCCCCCTTTTCCTCTTCTCATGGCCGTCAAAAGAGAGTGAAGGCTGCCGAGCTCCTCACGGTTAACCCTCCCGGAGGCCGCCAAGCTTTGCGTATCCGAGCGAAGCGCCTACGCCGTGTGCCGAAAGCGCCGGGCCAGGCCCAGTGTCCTCGTAGTTTATCGGCGAGAGTCGGGGGCGGAGGCTGGGCACTCCAGGCTAGCGTTAGCCTTAGCTTTAGCTGCGGGGCTTTGCGCCACGGCCAGCGCGGCGGCGGCTCCGCCGGACCTCGGCAGCAGCTCTACCCGTACACGCATTCGCACTCCTGTCCGAGGCGTCGAAAGCGCCGTGTCCCGCCTGGGAGCCGCTGGACCCCGCTGACGAGGTGAGCGTATGTTGCTGTAACGGAGTACGGCTCTCTGACCCGCTGCCCGGTTAGTTCACCCGGCTGAGCGGTGGCTGTTTCTTTCCCTGCCGGCTGTGCATTACAGCTGGCCGAAGTTAGACCCCGAAGCTGCCCGAGCACCTCCGAATTCGGCCGGCACCCTTGCGCCCTTACCGAGGCGTTATAACACGTCAGCGTGCTTTTCAGATTATGTCCCGGAGGCTTTCGTGTTTGGGGGCATGTTCCTATCATTAAGCGTGGCGTGCATTAGGCAGAGTGAAAGACAGTGTCATGGAGGGGTCTCTCCGGATCTATGAAACCTCTTTCCCCCCCCCCGCTTCTGTCTTTCCCAGAGAGGTGGTACGTACTGAAGGGTTTCATAGTGGTCGGCGCTGTGGCGGATCGGGTGGAGACCGCCGGTCTGTGGCCCTTATGGATAAGCATAAAGTCAAGAGGCAGAGACTGGATCGCATCTGTGAAGGTCAGTATCGTTCCCGAAGATTGCTTTGGTCCGTGGGCAGCTGGAGACACACCTCAGCGCATGAATTGGTAAAAAAGACGTATTAGATGGTGGAATCTATGGGATTTGCCCTTGAGGGCAATCAAGCAATCCTGTGATCGTGAAGAGTCTGTTAGGCACTATGTGTGAATTGCAATTTAAAGGTCGGCCTGACATGAGTTGTATTGTGAACATGTGAAGGAGCATCTTCTAGCCATCTGGAGAACGGCTTTCACAGTCTGTGACAGGTCTGCTTGAAGGGAAGGACGTAGAAAATGGAGTGGAACAGGACAGTATAAATTAGCCTTTCGCCCCAAAAAACAGAAAACATAGGTGGCAGGTTGTGTAATGGGGGTGTACGAATTATTGCCATGAAACATTTAGTTTTGGTTTAAAAAACAAAAAAAAAAGCTTATTATCATACTAAATGCAATCTTGTTACTTGCAAGAATACCAGCTTTATTTTCATTGAGTAAAAGATTTTGTTTAATTTGGAGCAGTATTGTAGGTGATGTTGCAGTTACTGTGAGGCATTTATATATTTTTTAATCTTATTGTGGCGATTTGTGTCCTAGTTCTTGTGTTAAGTCTTTGTAAAATAGATTACAGGAAGAACAATTGTCTCTTTCACTTTCTGTAATTTGTATGAAGTTTTAGTATAGGATAGAATAATTGGTCATTTAAAGGTGACACTGACCTGAGTCTTTTTGTGAGATGAGGAATTTGTGCCAAAAGACGTGTCCTCTGACAGTTCAGATGTGGACATAAAATTACTGAATGTTTTCTTGCCTGGAGGTAAGGAATTGGGAAATCGCTACATTACATGAGCACTTGGCATGTAATGTAAATGTTTACTTGTATTACAGAAAACATTTCGGTGCAGTTGTCTGTTCTAATCCTTACTTTTGTTTGTGTAATTTGGTGTATTTTGTTTTCTGGGTAGTTTGTTTTTAAAAACTGTGAACATTGACTTGTGGTAACTGTAAATAATATGTCTGTCTGATAGCATATGTAGCATCTAGTGTTTTAAAACATTTCAACAAATGTGAAGGTTTATAAATTAGGAGTATTTTATTTCTCTATTTTATTCTATTTTATGTGTAGAACCTGCTGCTAATTTACGGTAACTTTTCAAGTCAAGATAAAAATAAAAGTATGATCATTAACACAGACTTTGTTTGGGGGTGGCGGTGGGACAACAAACAATATCTATAGACAACACAGGTCCTATGCTGTAGGACACATACAAAGGGATTCTGTTCCCTGTACTGCTTCTGTGCTGAGGCTAATTTCTGAGCTCAAGGTGCATCTTCAGACCAAGAAGAGACACAGGCTCAGCTACTGGTGGTAGTCACAGCCACCGCAGGAAAAACGAACAGAAATGCAGGGTATTATAGCCGCAATCTACCCTTTTCAGAATAGTCAAAAAAACAATAGATAGCCAGCAGTCGGTATTACTCTGTCGGTCAGTGAGCTGAGGAAAAGCCTTAATTTGAAGTATGTCAGGTAAAAATGTAGTTTATAAATGTGGCAGGTTTTATAGCATGTGAATTATAGGCAGGCCCTCCTCCTGAGCGATTGTTTATTCTTTGTTTATCTTTAAAATGTGCTGCCTGGGAGAATACATCTGTCTCTGGGTTGCATGGAAACACTTTTGTGTTGCTGCAAATCTTATTAGCACAGATCCAGCTCACGGTTTCCGGTCCGAGGTTTCAGCGTGCCGTTAAGTCCGAGCTGGGTCAAAACTCCGGGAGGGGAGCTGAGGATCTGTCAGCTTTTGTGATTGTGGGGAAACAGGCCTCATTGTCTGGTGTGATTAATTGCACACTTTACCTGTCCCCTAGACAGAAGCGAGCGGAGTAATGCTTATTTCCTTAAATGTCACTGAGAAATATCTGCTGGGGGAGAAAAAAAAAACAAAAAAAACAATGCAGTGGCTTTGATAAGACGCTGCCACATGCAGAAATGTGGATATTTGTAAGTCGGCTCCTTTAAAATAAGAGAGAAGCTGAGCTGCCTGCAGCTCCGCCTCGGTATGGTAATGAGGTTAGCGCTGGTTGGCTGGCGATGAATAGAGGCCGTGCCCGATTGGATGCACAGGGTGGGGGGAGGGAGTGCGTGACGGCCCGAGCCGTTCTAGACGAGCACACCCTTGACTGTAAGTGTAATTGGAGTGGTAAATGGTGGCATCCTAGTGCACCACAGCGTGCAAGGTTAGAGCTCCGAAAGCCCTTTTCTATTGTCTTTGTGAAGGATAGGATTCCGACGGGGGCTGCATACCTTTTTTGGGCATTTATAAAAAAAATTTCTCCCCTCCTTAAATAGTGCCCTTGAAGCTGCCATGGTAATTGTGGTGTGTACGTGAGAGAGATTAGGAGCGGCATGTCGTGGCATTGTGTATGACCCCGCCCCCCAACCCCCACCACCCCGGTGCCATGTGGCCGAGGAGGACGTGCAAGCGTTGAATGGACGATGTCGTGGCCGGCTGAAGTCCCCCCCCCCCCCCCCCCCCCCCCCCCCCCCCCCCCCCCCCCCACCACCACCACCACCAGTAGAGTGACATGTGAGAGGCCTGTATATCTGGGTCTGTGTCCTCCCAGCCATCAGTGTTGTCCTTTTGTGTGTGTGTGTGTGTGTGTGTTTGTGTGTGTGTGTGTGTGTGTGTTTCTTTATTCCCTAGAAACAGGAAGCACCTAACCACACACAACATGAAAGATTCTTATTTACTATGGGATATGAGCGGTAAACCCGTGTGACGTTTGTGGATGGATGGTTTTCTTTAGGCGCCTCGCTAAACTCCCTGAGCTCACTTGCCTTCTTCAACAGGAAAGAATAGTCCCTCCTCTTTTTTTGTCCCTAATCTTTTCATCTCATTCCCACCTCCCCCCCCCCCCCGTGTCTTGCTGGAGGCCAGAGTGCCGTCAGTTTTATCTGTGTCCGCCACGTCCCCGTGTACTCTGAACGCGTGTGCGCTGTTGTCGCTGACGTGCGTGGAACACCCCCACTGGGTCCTCTGCCCTGAATATCCACTATTGGCCTTTCGCGGTTGCCATCTTCCTAGTCTTCACTCACGGTCTGTGTTCTGATGCCCCCGTTTTCAGTCATGTTGGATCGTGCTGAATGAAACACTACAGTGACCTGTAACTCCCTCAGCATATATTTGTAGAGCCAGTGGTGTGCACATGTGTGTATGCGTGCGTGTGTGTACGTGCATGCGTGAGAGAGAGACGGTTAAGCCTTGAGTTTGAAGCAGATCAATCATCATGTTAAATTATAACAGCTTGACTGGAATTCTGCCTCCGGTGTCCGGGGGTGGTACTGTCACCTGATCGCTGTTCAGTGACTTACCGTGGAATTCTGCATGTTTTCTTTATGGGAGACTTTGTCAAACAGCAGGGCCATTACCCGTAAGTGATTAGCTGCCGTGTTTTGCCGGGTTTGCGCTCCGGCTGTGCACGTGCTGAAGCGTTTCCAGCACGCCGAGGGCAGAGGGACCCGCCGAAGGGTCGGGCCGCGGCCAGGCAGCGCTGATCTCCACCAGGGCTGCGAGCACGAAGCCTTGTGGCGCGAACCATAGCGTTGAATGAGGGTGCAGAAGGTCAGCAGCTCTCCATCTCCTGTATCTGAGAGAAATTTCTTTTCAGAATTATGGCTTCATCGAGGCTGTAAGACGTCTGACATTATGTAGCTGTGGTGGGCACCATTATCATCAAGTCTATGTTAATTAGCTACCTGTTTTTTTAACGCTGTCATTGATATTAAAATAACGTAGTGAATGAGTGTACAATCGTACCTGTAGGTTTTGTTTAAGCATGTACCTCTAGGAGCACAATGTTGTCTGTGTTGCATAGCTTTCTTTTAATCGCAGGAAGTCTGATGTGCTGAAATATTTATTTGGTTTTTGTGTTTGGGATTGGTTTGACTTGTATATATTCTATACTTACAACCGAGAAAAGCATATTTTTCGTCTAATTGTCCTAAATATAAAACTTGTTGTTTTCCAGACTAAAGTAACCGTCCATTAACTGTTGTGTGTGTCAGCCTGTGTATGCAGTCCTGGCTTCCTTCTGAGAAGTTTACAGGGCGCGTCTATTTCCAGCATTTTCACACCAGCATCTGTGTGTTTGAGCACCAGGGTTGAGTGTTTTGTGTCTTTTTTTTTTAAAAAGGGTTTTTCTAAGAATGAGGAAGGAGGGTGTCTGGCAGCTTGTGAACTTCATGATGAAGTGAGAGCTACTCTGGATTTGAGAAGTCACTGTTAGAGAATTTTTAAGAGCATTGCCTCTGAAACTGGCCTTTCCGTTTGTCCCTTCCAGGCATCCGCCCGCCAATCTTGAACGGGCCGATGCACCCCCGCCCCCTGGTGGCGCTGCTGGATGGGCGCGACTGCACTGTGGAGATGCCAGTCCTGAAGGACGTGGCTACCGTCGCCTTCTGCGACGCCCAGTCCACCCAGGAAATCCACGAGAAGGTGGCCGCCGTCCTCCTCGCGACCTCTGACGCCCCCCATACACGCTCGCTCATCTGCTCTCTCGCCCCGTCTTGCCAATCGAATGGCTGCCGTGCCTCTCTGACGCGCCCGGCGCCCTCCCTGCAGGTGCTGAACGAGGCTGTGGCCGCCCTCATGTACCACACCATCACGCTGTCCCGGGACGACCTGGAGAAGTTCAAGGGGCTGCGCGTGATCGTCCGCATCGGTAGCGGCTTTGACAACGTGGACATCAAGGCCGCCGCAGAGCTCGGTGAGCGCCCCAGGGCTGCATCCCTTAGGGCGATCCCGCCACCCCCGCAAGCCTCCAAACCGCTCATCTGTCTCTGATTCCCTCCCCGGGGCGGCCAGGCATCGCGGTGTGCAACGTGCCGTCCTCGTCCATCGAGGAGACCGCAGACAGCACGCTCTGTTTCATCCTCAACCTGTATCGGCGTGTCACCTGGATACACCAGGCTCTCCGCGAGGGAACACGAGCCTCCGGCGTGGAGCAAATTCGGGAGGTGGCCGGCGGGGCCGCCCGCATCCGGGGAGAGACGCTGGGAATTATCGGCCTGGGTGAGGGAGCCGGAGGTGTAGATGTAGGTGTAGAGGTGGGGATATCAGAGTGCTAACAGACAGGTCCAAGATGGTGGAAGCTTTGTGTGAAGTCTCCTTGTCCTCCCGCAGGGCGTGTTGGCCAGGCGGTGGCGCTGCGCACCAAGGCGTTCGGCTTCAACGTGATCTTCTACGACCCGTACCTGCCGGACGGCGTTGAGCGCTCGCTGGGGCTCCAGCGCGTGGCCACGCTGCAGGACCTGCTCATGCACTCGGACTGCGTGTCGCTGCACTGCAGCCTCAACGAGCACAACCACCACCTGATCAACGACTTCACCATCAAGCAGGTGCGCGGCACTGAGCCGCCGGCCCCGTTACCCGCCACCAGGGGGCGAACCTAACCCGCCGCTCCTTTCCGCGTGCAGATGCGACAGGGCGCCTTCCTGGTGAACACGGCGCGGGGGGGGCTGGTGGACGAGAAAGCTCTGGCCCAGGCCCTGAAGGAGGGCCGGATACGAGGAGCCGCTCTCGACGTCCACGAGACCGAACCTTTCAGGTCTGCTTTTGCTCATCACGATCTTGATGGGGGGGGGGGGACACGTAGAGGGTTTCTGACCTTGTGCTAACGAGCTGCATGCGCTAATGCTTCTACAGAACCTTCGCATTCCATTTATAGTGGATCCAGTAGGTTGTTGGATTAGTATTGTACAGGGTGTGTTTACATGCAGTACTGTGATGGCTTCCTGCGCCCCCCAGCTTCGCCCAGGGCCCCCTGAAGGACGCCCCTAACCTGATCTGTACCCCGCACACGTCCTGGTACAGTGAGCAGGCGTCGGTGGAAGCCCGGGAAGAGGCGGGCAGGGAGGTTCGGCGTGCCATCACAGGTACCGTGGCGGGGGCTGGATCTAATGTTTACCGTCTGGTGAGTCACGGCTGGCAGAACGGAGCCGTCCGCGGCGTCGCGCCTCCCGTCCCGTGTAGCATGTCTCTGTTTAAAATGGTGGCCGTGCTGTAGTTATGGCTGCATTACAGTCACGGGGATTCTGAGCTGGCTGAGACTTGAATAACTTGTTTATAAGCACCAAAGGGTGAGCTCTTAATCCCAAGGTTGCTGTAATTCATTCATTATTTGGTTAGGATTGTTACTGATGACTGTTGTCCGGGGTCGAGACCCCGCCCTGACCCCGCCCTGACATCTCCTTACTGATGACTGCTGTCTGGGGTCATGACCCCCCGACCTCCCCTTACTGATGAATGCTGTCAGGGATTGAGACCCTACCCTGACCCCATCCTGACCTCCCCTTACTGATGACTGCTGTCTGGGGTCGAGACCCTAGTCTGACCATGCCCTGACCTCCCCAAACTGATGACTGCTGTCTGGGGTCGAGACCCTACACTGACCCTGCCCTGTCCTCCCCTTACTGATGACTGCTGTCTGGGGTCAATATCCCGCCCTGACCTCTCCTTACTGATGACTGCTGTCTGGGGTCGAGACCCTGCCTTGGCCCTGCCTTGGCCCTGCCTCCCCTTACTGATGACTGCTGTCTGGGGTCGAGACCCTGCCTTGACCCTGCCTCCCCTTACTGATGACTGCTGTCTGGGGTCG